GGAGCGCTCCGTGCCCGGCGGCGGCCGCGCCGCCCTGGGACGGGGCCGGGCTCCAGCGCCGGCCCCGGGGAGGGCGGGCAAAGGGCCCTGCTGCTCGGCTGGCTCGGGAGCGGGCTGCGGGCCGCTGTCGTCGTTTTCTCCCACGCGGCGTGGCCTGTAGATCAAAGATTTTTCTCTTCCAAGAGCTCTGCACCCGGTAAATCATTATAGCCTGCCCCGGCGAAATTCGCAGTAACCGTTAACCAACTCTTGCAAACTTCTGGAGTTCAGCCTGTTGTGTTTTAATGAAGCCTTAATATGTTTTGGGTGAAAGGCTAAGACCTTTATTTGGTAGACCTAGGTTTATTCCCTAACTTTGAAAGCGAAGGGTGGGCGTGTGTTAATGTGTAGGTGTTCTTGATTCATAGCCACAACAGCTGACGCTGCCCCTCTTTTTCCTCAGTAGACTGGAGTGCTTGGAAGTTTTTTTAGAAGATGTCTTTGGAATACTCTGTTTCTCTCTTTCTGTTCTGCTGGTGTTCAGATAAAACTGTTCACCAGGAAGCTCATGATATAGGACTGGGCATAGGAGAGCGATAAAGAGGGAGAGGAAAAAGGAAGCACGGTTTGGCTGATAAAGTGCAAAGAATTATAACTTCACTGTTGAAATGCTTTTAATTTTTAAACAGGAAAACAGAGTTGCTCTAGGTGAAACTTGAAGTGCCTGCTGACCTGTCACATTCAACCTTGCTGTTCTTTGGTGTAGGTCCTAGTGATGCATCTCCAGATGAAGGAGTAGTAGAAGATCTGCCTTTAATAGATGAGAAAGCTGTGGAGCAGCTAACGGAAGGATTGATTTCTCATTATCTGCCTGACCTTCAGCGATCAAAATCAGCACTGCAGGAACTTACGTAAGCAAATTTTTAAAACCGACTTCTTGTATACGCATACTTTGCCACTTTTTTCGATACAATGTTCTAGATACCCTTAACTGGAATATAGTTTATTGTAGCATTTCTGTGTTCTGACTATAGCACCCTGAATAGTTAAGGGGTTTGCGGGAGTACTGGGGGGTGTATAAGCTGCAGTGTAGCCTGTCAGAACATTGACTGAAGAACGTATAGTGCTGGAACACTAAAATACCCGAAGCCAGGTAGAGCAGAAGACATGCAGATTTCTTAAATACTTGTTCACTTTTGTAGTGGAAAGTCTGCTGGAAGCTAGATTTGTTTTGTTTGCAGAGATGCAGTTCATACTTAGGGCAGCTTGTAGTGTGGTATATTGTTTGTTGCCCAGTCTCTAAGCTGTGTTGCAAAAGCTACACTTGGAAAACATAATTAAGGAGCGAAACAGATAAGAATTTTTTGCACATTGGCATCTCACTGATAACTGAGAATAGTTTATATTCACGTGCAGACTGGATCTGCTGTGGGTGCAAAGATACGGGAAAGGGCTTTGCAGAGAGCCATCTCGGGTTTTGCAGGGTACGTTGGTTTGGGCTTCGTGAAGCGTGATATGGTTATGCTGCTGCCAAGGACAGCCTGTGTCTGGAAAGACTTTAGCTGATGTGTGTGGGATGGAAGATCCTTAATGAGCACCAAGGATCCACACAAGTTCTATACAGAAATAACTTAGTCCTGCAGCATGACGCAGAGGCAACTGAGTGGAAAGTCAAGAGCTAATTGTTTTCCCCTTCGTTCAACCTGGGGTGTTTGCTCACTGCAACTTGCCTGTTCAGGGTTTTCAGATATTCATCCTGGATATCTTATCATGCTGTATGATGCCAGCTGAATGTGTACTCAGCTGGGATTTTTCTAAAACCATTTACTCATGTCTTTATGGAAATCACCTAGCAATGCATAAGAGGAATCTGATATTGGGAAGCATGTGTTTATATTGTTATGATCAAAAGTAGTATTTATTTAAAGGGCTGGTTGAAAAGCATATGCACTGCTTTACTTTGGTTTTATGCATCTTTTTTTGTTTCAGACAGAACCAAGTGGTATTACTAGAAACACTAGAACAAGAAATTTCAAAATTCAAAGAGTGTAATTCCATTCTTGATATCAATGCTTTGGTAAGTACTATTAATGCTTTCTTAAATCTCTACAAGCGTAGATTTTCTTGCTGAAGCATTAGTAGCATCTTGCATATTTTCCTTGTTCTCAATGGCCTACAGGAAGAGAACCAACCAGTTCAAATATTTGGGACAAATTTTTGCTGGAAGGGGTGCGGAAGCAGCCTATTTCCCTTAAATAGGAAGGGCACTGGGAAGACAGAGCAGGCTCAGTCAGCCAGTGGTAGTAAGTCTAGTTGTTCAAAACCAGTAGCCAAAGCAAATGTGTGCCATTTTTCGGTAGGACTCAGGCTCCTACATGAGCTCTGTGCACCTCCCCAGGCGAGCAGGAAGGGTGCATGAAACACTGATATATGGTGCATAAAATGCACCATAAATTTTTATTCTGTTTAATGAATCTTAATTCAGTAGATTACTGGGGGTACCTGTTGAGATATGGTAATTTTCTGTATTAATACATGTAATATGTAAACTTTATATGTAAACTTGAACATGTTTAATCCATATCAGACTGTTCAGTTAACTACTATGTTTTTGAGTGCTGTTTTGCTGTATAGCTTTGTAAAACAGCTAGTCCAACTTGACAGTTGCTGCTTTAACTGTTATGTTTTTTAAGTTTTCAGAAGCTAAACACTATCACAACAAGTTAGTAAATATTAGAAATGAAATGATGATGCTCCATGAGAAGACATCAAAGTTAAAAGTGAGTGGGATAAATATTTTTACTTTCCAACATAGAAGTCAATAATAGGTAATTAAATATCTACCTCTTATTTTGGATGCATGCTGAAAATTCTGATTAAAATAGAATCTTCAGTCCTTTTCTTGAATGGATGTTTTCAGTAGTGCCAAACCATGTATGTTTTTAAACTTTCAATACTTGTGCTCAAGCAACTTATGCATCTGAACTACTAGTAAATCTCGTCGTCGGCGTCATTTTTAGGTGGTATAAGAATCATGCTTTGTTCTGTAGTCCCTTCCAACTAGTTCTCTTTGCTGTTTCAGTTTCTGTGCCTTTTTAATGAGAACTAGATTGTCATAAATGTAAGAATTTCTCCTTCTATTCAATGTAATATTAATAGTGGCATGAGTTCATGGACTTCATGCTATATAGGCAGTCTCTGGTTACGTTCTGGCAAGATTAGTCCTTCAGTATGTTCAACAAAAGTATTTTGTCTCGGAGGCAATGAATTCCACAGTACGCACCTTGTCTGGTATACACGAAGCATGACTTCTAGTGAGACTGAAGGGAATCCAGTTTGTATTTTCCCTGTGTAGATCACAGACTTACCGTTTCTGAACAGTAAGATGGAAGTGGGAGGGAGGAATTAAAAATGAACAGTTTATGCAACACTCAATCATAAGCAGGGTGGATTGGAGAAGATAACGTTAAGAGAACGGGAGGGATTTTCTTTGTATCTCTAACTTAAATACATCTATAAAACTTACAATTATTTTCTTGTCTTTTCTGTTTAGAAAAGAGCACTTAAGCTGCAACAAAAGAGGCAGAAAGAAGAACTAGAACGAGAACAGCAACGTGAGAAGGAACTTGAAAGAGAGAAGCAGTTAACAGCAAAACCTGCCAGGAGGACATGAAAGCAGAGCATGCAACAACTTGTCCAAATTAATCATGTCTGCATTCTGTGGAACTAAGGCAGACTTTGCTTAAACTGGGCTATAGCTGTTAACTAGCAACAGTCTACTCTATGATATTATGAATTCCAGAATGGTAATAATAGGATTGGTAACATTCAAATTTTTTCATTTCGGCCATTCAAGTTGCCTTCTTTCGTAATGCTATGCAGTTTGATATTATTATAATGTAAGTTAATTTTTTTTTTTTTAATATATATATATGTATATAGGAGAACTTAGGTGTCACAGTTTTAAATACCTATCAGTTTTTGTTCATCTGTTCTTCTGGTGTTTAGAATTCTGATAGATATTTGGTGACTGGCATACCTGTTTTTCAGACAAAATACAGAATACTAGTTAAAGTTCAGTTCTCATCCCCGGACTTCGGTGGCCGCCTGATTCACTGACACTGCTTTGGTTCAGGCAGTTGGGATCACTTTTTGATGCCCTGGTTCATAAATACTGGCTTTTTGTGCAGCCTTAGTTTGGTCCGTCTCTAATGAGCTGAAGAAACTTCCAGTGTATTTGCCTGAAAGCTCACTTTATTGCAGCAGTTGTTTTTTTTTTTTTTTTTTTTTTTTTTTACATGAAGTAACTTTAAAAACAGCTTTAAAGTAACTTCTGAATAATTTCCCAGCTGAATTGGTGGGGAGGGGGAAGCAGAACACTATAAAGATTCTCAAAATTGATGAGTGCACAATGCAAAGATTTATGAACTTGTGCTTCCACAAGCGTTTGAGTCAAACCAGGGAACTGTTGCTTCTGTAACGGTTCAACAGGAAGACTGTGTGGTCAAAGCAGATTTCTGTGGGATTAGAAGTTGTAGTTTCTTCATTTTGTGTGACAAAATAAAACATAACCAAAACTAAACAATTTCCACTTCCTGTGAAATAATTCAGTTACTTGTAGGAAAAAATACTGCATTTAATTTTTTTTCTCTAACAAATCATTCATTTGCACTTTGGGGCTATGTAGGAGAATTTTTGTTATGCTGTCCTCACCCAAATTGATGATTATTAGTGTATACTGATGATAAATGTGGAATGGAGGTTGATACCCATTTCTCTGAATGTAATTGCTTTCTTGCAGCACTTGGTGTATGTTGTCTGGATGGGTAAAAGAGCTTTAAACTGTTTGTTCCTACAGTCTAACAAACTAGTTATTTTATATCTGTGTTATTTTTTAAGTAGTAATGTAAGTGGCATGTTTTGAAGTAAGATGAAGGGTAAGCTGTGTAAAGTTTTCCATAAAATATGTATGGTAAGGTATCAGAGGGGCACAGTCAATTTTACTTTTTCTTCCATTTTAGATGACTTACACAGGGTACACCTGCCTGGACTCTCCTGTCTTATAATCTTCTGAACTCCTAATTTCCTGTGCTTAATCTTTGTCATCTTTTTCTGTGAAAGACATACTCTAATGAGTAACATGCAAGGTAAACTGGGATAATGTTTTGGGGCCAGGAGAATCAGCTACTTAAAGCAGTCTGAAGAGACACTGAAATGCTGTTACTGAAGCAGGCATGGAGTAAAGCTTTCCACAGGTGTTTTTCCTTTAAGTGACTTGTGTCTGTTAATTACCAGTGGATTGTTGACCTGTGCTGTGGTTTGTATGTATTTCTAAGAGAAACGTAAAGAATTTCCACAGTCCATTTTTGGAGCAGAATGTACATAACTAAATATTGTTTAAATACTTTATTTTGTAATGTAATTTCAAAATTAGATTCTGGGAATTTAACAGTTCTTATTAAAGTATAACATGAAACTAGATGCCTCGGTATCCAAATTGGGATTAAATTCCTGCGGTATTTCTTGATTTGTGTTCCTTCATCTAGAATCCAGTTTAGTGTTTCAAGTTGTGGTCTCTTTCTGTGAAGAACTGTAGATTTTTTTTTTTCCCAAAGAACTGTGGGAGTTTTTTTGTTTTGTTTCAAAAATCATGGCTACTTCTACTGAAAATAAAGAATTCTAAGCATAGAAATCGATGCTTTTGCAATTGCATATTTCAGTGTTTCTTTGGAATAATTTCTAATCAAAGGAATAAAAGCTTGCAGTGCTTGCCTGAGGAATCACATGCACATACGTAAAAATGTAATGGATAACTTTTCCCATAAAATTGTAGTAAAATATGTTTTTTGTATGAATAGGGAACTAATTTTAATAAATAACCTTTCTGTAATAAAGGGGGAGGGAATGAATTAACATATACAGGGGGAAGTTTTGTCAGTTTATGTATTTTTTTTTTCTTTTAATTAATGAGCTCTTAAATTATTTCAGTGAAAGCTACAATTCTGTATCTCCATAGGATATTGTTCTTCTGAATGCTCCTCTTGTGTCTTACTGCATAAAAAGTAAATGCCACGTTGGATTAATTTAACGATACTGGCATCTAAACTTGTATGCTTGCATTAATGTGCACAGGTAGAGTAATTCTATTACTGTATACGTTTAGTCTTGCTTGATTTTATAAAAAATGACTTATCAAGTATATAAATGTGGTAGTGTTAGACATTTTCTTACTGACTTTCTATTCCATCCATATGTGGGGGTGGATCTAGCTGCATCTTTTTTAGAACCAGATAAAATGGCAGCTTTAAAAGTTTTTTTTTTTTTGTACTGTTTGTTTTATACTCAGTGTACTTGTTTTTAAACTAGCAAGTCATAGCAGCAGAAGTAAGACATTCAACTGTGCAGTAACACTTTTGAATTTTTATTTTGTAAGATTCTCCAAATTTAGGAATTACCATTGCTAACTGGGGAATCTTGGTTTCCCGTGCTTTTATCTTTGCTATTGTTAACCTGGATGCTTAATTTGGGTTCCCCCACCTATAGCTGTACGGCTTTACATGAGCCAATTTTTAATTCAGCGAAATCTGGCTTTTCCACTGGTGGAGGTAGCTTTGCCATGTTCATAAGACAAATATTTGTTTCTTCTTGGAAAATGGCTACAGAATACTTTATCTGGTTTTATTCTGTATGCTGTGACCTAAGTGATAATAGCATAAATAGTAATGCAAAGGTTGTTTCTGTAGCTGTTCTGTTGGGATTCCAGCATCTGAGAGAGTTCTCTGGCTGATTTATTCGGAATTATGCTTCAGTAGACGCTTTCTGCCACCTACTGCTTGCTTTTGCAACACTGCTGGCTGTTCTTTAAGTCTGAGCTTGATGCTTTAATGCCTCACCTTGCAGGGATCAATTTTTTTTTTTTTTTAACCTCATTAAATCTAACTGGTTCTTTGGATTAGTTGTGTGAATATAACTAAAATTACTGCTAAAAATTTTGCAGGACTTGGACTTAGTGATGTAAATCTGTAAGAATACAAATTATGGCAGCATAAATATTAATATGGCTATTCATGCTAGGCAAAATAGACAATATGCACTAAGTTTCTTAGTAAAGCAGTACGTGAAGGTGGCAAAGATGATTTTATTTTATTTATTTATTCATTTATTTATTTTAAAATCAAAGCATAAGCTTAAGTTGAAGTAAACAGTTGAGTCTGGCATGAATATCACTGCTTTCCAGTAATTTGGAGTACGCTTGTACTTACTTTACTTTTCTCAGTCCTTGGCAAAGTGATTTGCAGAAAAACAGGCACCAAAACTGGACAGTCACATCCCCACCACCACCATTGTATGTCTTCAAACCAGTCCCTTGTGGTACCAGCACAGCCAAGAACTCTTACGCTGTGACAAATTTAGTGTTCTCAAATATTCTCTATGTAGATGATGGAGCTAAAACTGATGGAAAGAACAGCTCTATTTTTGGTACCTGACAGTGTCACAACAGTGCTGGCATGGAGAATTTTAACACTTTTCCTCCAGGCAGTAACTGTTGGCAGCCGTGGATCTGGGAGGTTATGACTAACTCAAGTGCATAATATAAGTGTTGTTCGTGAAATGTCATGTAGCTTTAAAGCACAGATGTTGGCAATACCTGATAACTCAGTGTTTCCTTCTTGGTTTTGCTCCTATCTGTCCGTTTATCTCCATGATGTCAAGCCATGGGGTTTAAGAAAGGAAATAAAACAACCTGCTTGGCAAACGGAAAAGTTGCAACAAACGTATTCAGCTTTTACAAACTTGCAACTTAATGAAGCAAATAATTTAAAGCTTGATAAAGAATAATTTCAAGATTTGTACACATGCAAAGGCAATAGTCTCTAAAACAGTAATTTACAGAAGTAATTAATTTTGAACTGTCATTCACACTGAGATGCAACACAAAAGAGAAGGCTGATGAATTTTGTTTCATATGTTGCAATGAAAATACATCCCAGCACTGCTGTGAAAGCAAGACCATCTGTACATGTACTGGTCAGCCAAACACTGTACCTGTAAATTAGCAATATAGTTTATTGCCTTGATGAGCAAGAGTTTTTTTCTTCTGTCACCTGGGACCCATGTGATATCCTCCCGTGTACGTACAGCCTGCAAGAGTAATCATAGAACAGTTAATATGAACTTTTTGCCACCCCACTACCTGAAACCGATGTTTCAGCCCTTTAGCGCTCAACTGAAGTTGCGAGTTTTGCAGTCTTTAAAATTGGGTAAAAGCCATGTTGGTAAACTATGTATGAGACAGTATTTCTTACTTTGTTTTGTTTCTGCTTCTACTTTGTTTTGCTTTTACTACTGCTTCTTTTTTGTTAGCCTTACAGATGCTATGATTTCAAGCTATGCCAGAAGAAGAAATCTCCAAGAAAAAATATCAAAGATGATGTGAGGAAATCACTGCTTTTCTTCTACATCCCCCAGTGTTACTAGAATTCATTTGAGACTGTGCTCGCTATCAGGTGGGCACTTCCCACAGAAGAATAATCCCCATCCTGGAGAACTCGCAGTCTAAGCCTAGACAGATGTGTAGATGATGTCCTGTGGAGGGGTCAGTATAAGCAATAGGGCTTCCAGGAAAGCCCAGTTGCCCGGTGACCCATTGCTCCCGCAGCCACCCTGGGGTGCCAGTGGCCCTGAGGAAGGGTGCAGCCGGGCGGTGTGCGCCCAGCCCTCGCACAGCAGCTTCCACCCTCTCATCCTGCCTGGACTTTGCTGTTGCAGGAGAGTTAGGCAGCACTCCCTGCAGCTGCCGGAGGGCTCTCTGCTACAGGTGAGTAGTTTCTTCGTGTTTGGTTTATGTGTTCTAAGTTAAGGTATTCATTTAAGTAATTTCTTTATTAAAATTGCAGACCATCTCTATAAGAAGGCTGTGGGGAAATATGCATGGGAGCATAAACAAGATATTTTAATATTTAAAGACAATCCTAAAAATATATGCTTAAAAAAAAAAAACAACAAAACTTTCTTTTCTTGTGGACAGAGACGAGGATCAATCTCTTAGAAAAAAAATGTGAAAAAAGGCTGTACTCTGACTATACCAGGGCAGCTGGGAACAGGAAGT